TTGCGTCTCTACTTCAGCATCTCCAGTCTGAGTTTGATAATTTGAGCGTGTACACTCCTGAGCAGGACATGAAAAATCCCATAAGGTTTCATCTCTGCTAAAATGAAAGAACAAACTAATAACCCAACTAGTATAAAAAGGTGTGAAAGCTGTAATAAAAGAGAATTTGGTATATTATCCATGTGGCATGGAGTATCTGTCACCCTCCAGACAGAAGCCAACCTTCAGCAGCCACATGACAAATCCCTGAATACACCAGTGGGTGATGGAAACCTGACAGGTTATTAGTGACAGCAGCATGAACAAGGTTCTAAGGAACAATCAAAACAGAATTTTAAATGAATCCTCTTTAAAAGACAAAACCAACCAAACAAAAAAAAAATAAAACCTCACAGAAACAGGTGAACTGCAGAGCTGCAGCCCTAGAGTTTGGCCCCAGATTGCTGTTCTGCATGGCCTGATCCTACAGGGAATTCCTAAACTTGGCTGTAGAAGTGACAGGATGGGATCCCAGGACACAAAACCCTTGGAAAAGTAGAAATGCATTCCCATCCCCTGGACAAAGCCACTGGATCCAGGAGTTTGCTCCACCTGTGGTTTCTCCCACACAACCCCATCCAAGCACTCATACACATCAAATGTCCTCTTGTATCTGATTGCAGAAATGTTTTCCAGACATTTTTCAATGCCAGGCAAAAGAAAAAAAAAAAAAGGCAAATCAGTTTTATAATAATCTATCTTTCACACTGGAATTTCTTTGCTGTTTGCTCATCTTTATCCAACTACAAATCTGAGGTTCAATACCTCAGGGTATTTAACTAAGGGTAAACTGGTTGAATCACTTTGATTTCAAAGTATCTACTTTGACTCTGATTTAAATAATCTGTTCTGGTCTTGCATTGTATTTGCACTTTCTAGAACTCTTCCTGACAAGAAATACAGATTCATCTTGGTTGAATGTTGTGGGGGGTATTTTTGGTTTTTACTGATAAGAAAGCTCCTCTATAAGAGCTTTTTTATTTTACTATTTGTAAGTTTCTTACATTAGTATCTTCTTTTTCTCCTCAGTATTTGACTAAGCATTTTTTAGTGAACACTCCATATTCATTAGCTGCAAAGCACTTTATAAAGAGGGCAAAAGGAATTGTGTAAATAAGTAAAAATAATAAAAAATGTCTTTTTAAGGTGAAAAAATTATTCTAAATAAAACACCCTCATTGGTGAATTGGGTTGTACACATGTCTTAAGTTTTGTTAGGACAGATGTGATTTTCATTAAGAGATCAAAAGAAGAAAAAGCTTTGCAGCTCTTGTAGTTTCTCACCTTTGACTCCACAACTCCCAGAACCACAAATGCAGAATGTTTTGTGTCTGCTGAAAGTGACTCCTGTCAAACCAGTTCTGTGCTGCAGTGAATTCTCTGCAGGCACTTCCACCTACTCTGTGGATATTCTTTCTTCAAAGTTACAGACACAATTATATCCTTCTGGAATATTATAATTTAATTAAAAGTTACTACACTATGAAAAAGTTAAGGCCTGAATATTTCAAATCCAAATTAATTCTCCTTTTAATTTTTCATTTTAACCTCTTTTTGTTTCCCAAAAAAAAAAATTTCCCCTGTTCTTCATCCTTTTCCCCACAGTGTGCTTCCATCACAGGGACCAGCATTTACGGTGTGCCACCTCACCTTCCCTTCTCTCAGGAAGGATAAAGAATTCTTTCCAGGCCTTACTCATCAAGGCAATGTGGCCCATGAATCACAGCACAGTCTTCTCTCACATGATGAGCCCTGAGGTTTGTGCACTGCTGCACAAACAAGTCCAGGCAACCTGTGGCTCTGAGGATGAGCATTCCTGCTTCTGCTGCCCCGTGCCAAGCACACTCTGCTCTGCTCCAGTCCCAGAACATCCCCAGGAAAGCAAGCAGAAGGAATTCTTCGTGCCAGGGAACACCACTGGGCCTCTCTGCTGGCACCTGGAACAGGTTCCTGTTGCACACCTCAGTTTTCAGCTGCTTGTTAAAGCCCCATGTGCTGCACTCACCTTCTTTTCAGGCTCTCTAGGACTTCTCCATTTTTGACCGACTCCATGTCCCCATTACAGATTAGCCACAGTTCAAGAGATTGTTCAGATCTACCCATTTATTTTTTCTTACTCATCCCAAATTCCAGTAGGAATAAAGTCACGCTCCACCCAAACCCACTCTCCCACTCCAAAAGCAGGGCAAATTGTCGCTGAATGAAAGGAAATTAAGTATCTGGAAATGTTACACACTAGTATCAGGAACCACCGAAAATAAAACACTCCCCAGTTCAGGGATTTGGCCAAAAGGAAACTTTAGACCCTTAAAAAGTTTTAAAAAAAAACTTTAGAGCCAGGAGCACGTCTCCTGCAGCCTGGCTGAGGACACACACAGCACATCTGCCATTCCCTCAGGAGGGGAAATGTTTTGCCACAGAAGTGTAGCAACCAGCAGCATTTCAGAGGGGCCTCAGTGCACAACAAACACCAGAGCTGTCCAACTGGGTGACACCAGCAGCCAGCCAAGAGTTCCTGGAGAGACATCACCCTCCCCAGCCTGGTCAATAATGACATGAGTCATTATTTTGAAGTGCTACATTTTGTACATAAACAGGACATTACAGAAAATCCCATCACATGAGGGGATTTACCTTTCTGAACAAAGCCTGTCCAAATGTTTACGTGACATTCTTGAAACAAAGCAATTCCTCTCACAAAACCTCGGTGTCAGCAAAAATGGCAATTTCCTCCTCCTTGGGCTCACTTCTAGAAAATACAGAAAAGGAGAGAGAATGGGACCCAGTGAGTCCCATTTTATTGTTGAGGGAGTAGCAGCACTCAGGGAAAAGCCACTGTTGGGAGTCTCTGCAAACTGATTTGAAGGGAACTGAAAACAACAGGTTTCACCTGCTGATACAGCGCAGAAAGACACAGCCACCACAAAAACCCCACCACAAATATAAAACCAGCTGTGGGTGTGCAGCTCCCAAAGCCCCACAGGTGATGTGCCACCCAGGCACAAAATGCAGACAGAATCTGTGTGCTAACCACCTGAACCCAGACAGGGCTGTGACTGCTTCCATGACTTCTGAAATTGAGGAAAATCCTTCACATCTGCTGTGCTGCCAGAGCCCAGCACAGCCCAGGCTATTCCAGCTGTGCCTTGCAACAGCTTTCATTAGTACAAGGCAGACATGCACAAGTTTAAGCTCAAAATCACACCTTGGCTTCATCTACAGTTTCTCCTAAAGATGATGTTTTTCCTAAAGGAGGTATTTAAACAGTTTACTAACCTGGCAACAAATCACAGCAGAGGGGAAAGAGCTCTCATTAGCTGGGAATGATGATGTTGAGGATCAGGGAACACACTGCAAAATGCAAGTCTCCAGAGCCACGAGCAGCCCCTCAGTGCCACAAGCCAAGCAGCTTTCCTGAGGTTCACCTTTCTAATCTTCACCTGGTAGAAAGGAGTTCCACTGTGCTGTTCCTTGTGTGACTGTCCCAGAGCCACTCAGCATGATGGGCTGCTGTGGATGTGTGCTCAAACACAAGCAGAGAAGAAGTATCTGCATGGTCCTACTAGCTGCCACAGTTTTCCTCTTTCCCAATTTCAGCAGAAGAAAGTGATGGTGATATTTCTCTTTATCACACATTCAAACAGGAGAGATGGCCAAACAGGACCTGACAGAAGCTTTCCAATGAATGCAATCTCACAGGCATTCAAATTTCACTTATAATTTCTTTGCCACAACATTTTACTTGCTTTATTAGGCCCTGTAACATTTCAGCAACACATTACATTCCAGAGCGCAAATTCTAACAGAAAAAGGCATAAAGAATAATTTCTCTTACATACAAGAGTCCACTCTGTGGCAAAGCAAAAGGGAAGAATAGAGAGCCCATTCCTTCCCAAGGAGACCACAGCAAGCACTGACAGACAAACTGATACATAAAGGCAGAGAACCAGAGATTCCCCATGTTCATCCAAACCTCAGAGCCTGTAAAACCTGAATAAGAACTTATTCTGAGCTTTTAACAAAGACTCAGAAATGGCTGAGACTTTTGGGGCCTTATAAACAAGCTGAGGAGGGAGGAGTCATTAATAAAGGCACCATGGGAGAAACAAGTGTTGTATATCACTTTTCATCATTTCAAGCACTGCACCTGCAAGAACTTCTGGATATTCACCCCCTTAGAACACAGGTCCAGTCCTGGCTATACAAAAGCTTTGAATAAGGTAGACAGAAATTTTGGATGCGAAGAACAATTCCCATGATCTCTACTGCTGCATATAAAAAATTAGTAATTTATATTCATTAGCCCGGCCAGAGGAGTTTCCTGCTGTGAACAGTTTTGGTTAATGAGCTGCCATACCATTCTGTCGCTTAAAGCTGACCAAATTTCCACCTGAAACTTCTGTTTTGCAGCGCATAAGCTTCGCCAAAACCTAAAGACACGCTGGGTGAAATTTACATCAGTCGAGATGGAAACAAACAAGACAGAAAGCTCAAGAAATCCTCCACGGTTTAAGAAATTACCCGACCTGCAAGAGCCACAACATCCTGTGCTTACTAGAGCGCGGCGAGCAGAGTGAAGTCATTTAAACCGAGCAGGGAGGCGCCAGGCTCGCAACCTCCAGAGAGCCGCACAACAGCGAGCACTGCCCAGAGGCGCCCAAAGACGTTTGTTTCCCCCCCAAAACACACGATACGCTTAAAAAAATACAGTATGGGGTGATGTGCGCGGTGCTGCCTGAGCGTTTTTCCCCACAAGGGCATTTCAGACAATGGAGCGGGGATGATCCCCAGGGCTGGGGCGGGCAGGAGGGGCCGTGCCCGTGGAACACAACAACAGGTGCTGCTGCTGCTGCGGGTGTTGTTGGGAAGCGGGCGCGGCGCCGGCCCGGGGCTGAGGGTGCTGCTGCTGCCTCCGGGCTCTCCCGGCCCGGCTCGGTTCCCGCCCGCCCCGCCCGACTCACCGAGGCCGCCGAGGCCGTCGTGCCGGAGCCCGGCGCGGCTCCGCTCCTCCGCTATGGCCCGCAGCATGTGCCGCAGAGAGCGGTCGGGCTCGCCGTCCGCCTCGCCGTCCCTCCGGGCACAGGCCATGCTGCCGGCGCCGAGCTCATGTCAGGCCGCCGGCAGGCGGCACCGGGGCCCGGCACGGCAGGAGCAGGCGCCTCCCGGCCCCGCTGCCCGGCCGCTTCCCCCGGGATGGTCCCGCCGGCCCTCACGGGACACGGCGGCCGCTGCTGCCCCCGATCGCTGCCCGGCCGCGCTCGCTGCTTCCTCCTCCTCCCGCTGCTGCTGCGGCCGGGCGGCACCGGCAGGGCCGGCACCAGCCCCGGCACGCCCACGGGGCGGGCCCGCCGCGACCGTCATCCCCGATAAGCCATCCTGCATCCCCAACAGCGACCGGCATCCTGGGAAACCCGTCCTGTGTCCCCGACAGCGACCGGCATCCTGGGAAACCCGTCCTGCGTCCCTGACAATCCATCCAGCATCCTAGGAAAGCCGTCCTGCGTCCCTGACAGCAACCGGCATCCTGGGAAACCCGCCCTGCGTCCTGGGATCAGCCAGCATCCTAGGAAACCCATCCTGCATCCCTGACAATCCATCCCGCATCCTGGGAAACCCCTCCTACGTCCCTGACAGTCCATCCTGCGAAACCCATCCTGCATCCCTAACAATCCGCCCTGCATCCTGGGAAACCTATCCTGCATGCCTGACATCAGTCAGCATCCAGGACAACTCACATAATCCTGTGTTGTCATTATATTGCAAGGGTTCTATATTGCTAGAGTTTTGTACTTCCTTGATACTTCTTGTGGGCAGCTCCTCCAGGCACTGACTCTTCCTTGTCCTCACAGCAGCCAACTGACCCCAGTTCCCACCAATCCACTCTTTTATAACACTCTTCTTATTGGATACAGCTGTGGCCTGTTAACATCAAGCCTCCTCCTAAGCCTTAGTAATTAACGCAGCTGCAACTCTTTAGGGGTTAAGATTACTTTCTGTACTATCTTTATTTACTTATGTTCTATGCCCCTACAGCTTCCTTCTTGCTCTCCTGTTCCTGTCCCTCTGTGGGGACAACACCCAGCCAAAGGTGTCTGCTGAAGTCTCTGCCAAGATCTGTCACCTCTTCCTGAGCATTAGCACCTCTTGTGAAAATCAGGAATTGATCTCAGGGAGTAACCCAGCTTGTGCTGTGGAGATTGGATCCCACGTCCTCCTGCAGCTGGGGGTGCTTGTCCACAGCAGATTCCAACACTGGCCAAAGCTTCCTCAGAAATTTACCATTTTCTAAGCCACTGTTGGAGAGCAATACCACCACCTTCTCAGTTCTCCTGCAAACAATTCGTTCAACATTTTTTGTTTATAATATTTCTTTAGCCTTTCCTTAGTTCCTCAAAATACTGTAAAGGCTTAGGCAGAATGTTCTTCTCTCTGAAGCCCCATTTGAAAGTTGGCAGGCCTTGCAAGTGGTGGTGGGGAGAAGCAAATGGATCAGAGGACTTCAAGCCTGAGTTGACAGCATTTGAGAGTTGGGCTTTTTGCTACAGCACAATAAGAAAGAGAAATTATCAAATACTTCACATCCATTCTCTGCAATGGGATACATTTAGCCTATGTTGCCAATTTTACTTTCATGTCAGCTTTTGACACCAGTAAGTTAACAATCAGACGCCTGATAAATGCATGTCTTGGTTTGAAAAACAGGTGTCTGCTAAGGAAGGCAGGAGCCTTCCTTGAAATAGACAATGTAAACCCCCTCCTTCTGAATTATTATTATTTTGAAATTAAGGGGCTCTCAGGCAAAGATGTGGGAGCAGGAATAACAATTGCTTTTTAGGGAAAAAAATAAAAATAAAATAAAAATGCAGTTATACAAAACAACACTGACAGAATATGACCTGACACCCAGTTGGTCAGGGTGTTGGCAACAGTCCCATTAAATGGTGGCTCAGCCCTCCTGCAGTGCCAGGTGTGGTTGTGGTGGAGCAGGGATCCTGTAGAAGGGTGGAGTTTTCCTCTGAAGATCTGGTGGTGCTGTAGATGGGCCTGGTCTTTTGGAAATCTAGTGGAAAAGAAAGCTGTTCCTCTGGGAATCCAGTGGGAAAGGCTGTTACTGGTGTTTCAAATCTCTGATTATATCCAGGTAGGAATGTTTTGGTTCCTCCCCCTGGGCGGAGCATCTCACAATGGGATGATGGAATTTTATCAGTCATGCTGATAAATGGGCCAGTCATGCTGGCCCATTAACAAAAGATAGATATCTCCTGGAGGGGGCATTGGTTGTGCAAGAGATAAAGAAAACTGCCCCACCTGGTTTTAACAGGCGGACAGGTGGTCAAATTAACAGCAGATAACTGCCCCACGTCTAACCCCGGGCAATAGAACACACACCCCCAGCCACATCTTGCATTTCCAGCCTAAGACAATGCAATTTATAGTCATGCACTCATTTCACATGACACCAACGTGTAGTGGGATAGAATATAAGAAAATAAAGATAGTGTAGGAAGTAATCTTACCCCTAAGGAGTTGCAGCTGGGCCAATTATCAAAGATTAGGAACAGGCCTGACTTTAACAGGCCACAGCTGTAACCAATAAGAAGAGTGCTATAAAAGAGTGGGGTGGCTGGGTGAGAGGGGAACTGGAGTCAGTTGGCTGCTGTGGGAAAAAAAAAGAGCCAGTGCCCTGAGGAGCTGCCCATGAGGAGCACCAAGAAGGTATGAAACTTTGGTGATAAAGAAACAACAGTATGGAACCCCTGCAATAAGATGATAACACCAACATAGATGAGTATTTTTTGTGGAAGGCCCTTCTGCTGAATCAGGTAGAGGAGGGAAATTTGAAGTTGATGTAGCATTTTGCTAGTAAAGTATCTAGTTTTTTTTTAAAGCAATAGAAAATGGGGACATACAGTCTCAGGATTTAAGCACCTCTTCCCTGGTTAAGTCTGACAGTTCTTTTTCTTGGAGAGAATGAAGTTTGCAGTCACATGTTAGCCCTGTAAATGCAGTTATTAGAGTTATTTATCCCATGGGGAAGAGCAGCAGAAGATTGTCCTGTACTGTTACCCTCCAAGTTGCTTTTGACATTGCCAGAAGGAAGGATTCTCTCTGATGTTGGAGGAGTGACAGGATTGGCTTGGATGTCTTGTTCCTGCAGATTCCTTCTGGATCCCAACAGCACTGTCATTCATGTTGGGGGCACACAGGAACACTTGTGTTGCCAGCCTTGCAGCAGTGTCACTCCAGGAGTTCAGCCTCTCTGCTGTGCTCTGAAAACTATCTGTAAAGTTCCAGCCACCTTGGTTTAAAGAAACAGCCAAGGAAACCTGCTGCTGCCCTGTCCAGGCCTTTTATAAAATGAAAAGGTATTCTTGCCCCTTAGCTCCCCACCCTACCTTCTACTTTCTCTGGTTTCCATCAAAACACATCCATGGACAATATGTGTAGCTGGTTTCCTTCCTTTAGGCTTCCACAGACAAATATACCTCCTAGCAGATCACAGCACTTGATCAGAAAACACAGGAATAAAGTTTGTTTTCTTAAAGGGACTATTGATTAAGTACTCTTAAGATAAGTTAGAAACCTGTTAGAATGCTAATTGCTTTTGGTTTTTAAAGATCTCATGGTACACTGTAAAACAAGAAACCACTCTGTCTACCCAAAATCTTTACAGAGAGGGGGCTTTGTATCTAATCTTTATATATTGGTCCTAAAGGTCTTCTTCATCAACACTTAACACTATATCACTATAATAACTATATAATTGTATAGTGGTAACTATAGTTATCACTGTAATGGGCACCAGGAGCACTGTCTGACCATACATGCTCTCGCCCAACTCAATTATACACAAAATTCACTGCCTTACAAAGGGGTAATGAGTGTTATAGCCCTAATCGCTCTCACCTGGGCTCTCCTTCCCCCCCTTCCCCAGCTGGGATCTCTATTTAACAATGGATTCCTGTGCTTTCTTATGTAATAATGCACTTCATGTCCTGATGTAAAATATGTATATTGATCAACAAGATGGATAGGCTTTGGGGCAGAGTCTGGGCTGAATTATTTTTTGTACCTTAGAATGCATGTTCTATACAGGAGAAAGGTAAATACAAAGGCTTTAGGCTTATTAAAAATATCTATATAATAATAATGTTGTGTGGTGTGCCTTTTGCACCAGTCAATAGCAGTCACCTTTGCTATGTGAAAGTCATGCAAGTTATTTGTATGAGGCTGTATTTTTCTTTCTACATTTATTTTAGTAGTAGCTGATAGTGGTAGCCTGCAGTGTGAGCTAATAGGACCACATGGGGTGTGAATATCTAATGGTGAAAATGAGTTTGCAAGTTGGAAAATATGAGCTTACTGAATGCATTTGAGTGTCTGTCGAATGGCTGAGTCCTAGACTACACACACCTGACAGTCCTGACCCTGGCAAACCTGTGTGGCCTCTTCCAGCCTGTCAGAACACTTGAGCTCTGCATTTCTTGAGCACTTCAATTCTCTCTGTGTGCATAAACTATTGCAGGAGCAGCCTTTGTAACTGAAGCTTTGGAAGAAACATGCAAAGTACCCCCATTTTTCTTATGTGCTCTTTACTGATAATAAGAAATTAAGATGAATAGCAGCTGTATGTAGCAAATGAATGTTATATCTAGCTTGAAGACATGGGGCATGAAATGCAGTTTTTTGAGGAAGAGATTAAGCAATTTAAAAAATCAAATCATATTTTAGTCTCAATTTGGGTTATTACCATCTTTGGCAGTCTGCTGTTCTGCTGAGGGCTTGCCTATGGGTCAGTGGCCATGCAGGCAGTTTATATGCAAAGAAGAATTCTCAATCTCTACTTAATTGCCTCTCTAACTGCATCAAAGCATTCTGATTTAGGATGTGGCAGTTTGGGGCCTCCTATTATAAACTGTGTTAAGTTGGCTAGCTTGAAAGATAACCCAAAGTTATTTCTAAAACTTCAGCACAGACCTGACTTGGCTTCCAAGACTAAACACACAAGTTACTGAAAGTTTTATGTACAGAATGTTACATGATCTTTTTCAGCTAAAATAACTCTTTGAAGTTAGATCTCTGAATGC